GCAGAGGTAAATCAGCTTATAGATAGTAGCCAGATCATATTTCTAATGCATAGCTTGTTAGGAAGTACTCAAAGAGTGTTTCAATTCCCTTCCATTTAAGATAAAAGAGAGTGGCCTGCTTTATGTTCGGGTCGTAACATCTTGGTCGCAGATTTCCTTTTTAATTCGATTATACTCCGAGGATACGTACAAAGCGGGATACTGGCTGGAGCATAAAGAGATTTGAACAAGAAGAGGTAATTTGCAGAAATATATAAAATTTATTACCACAGCCCTGATCACAGGCGCTCCGGGAGAGCTGTGGTTTCTCTTTAATGTAGTCATGTTGAGGTGTGATTCTTAAATTTTCAAAAGCTGTCAAAGGTGATCAAAGAGAATATTATTAGGTATTACACGATGGAGGGGTGGTCATGGACGACATCTAAAACTGCCTTGCCCGAACAGTGGTCTCATATTTCGTTTCAGGTGAGCACTAGCAGAACTGGGACAGAAAATACAACTATCCCTTACTTACTTTTGTTGCAAGAACAGACGATATCGTGAAAACTACTGTATCGATATGGTTGAAAATCTGATCGTTCTCTGTCCTAACCTAAACAAACATGTACCTAGAAAATCTTCATAATAAATGTATTATTACCAAACGTCTGTTGTCAAGAAAAGTGACACAAATCAAAATTCTTGAATTTTCAGGAGAGCGATTTAAAATATTTGGGTATCGTTTTTATCGCTTGGCTGCTTTCCTAATCGATTTACACCAACTATTTTGATTGTTTTGTGTTGTAGATATGACTACCTTATTCTTCATGGTAAGTTCTGAAGAAATTTGATTTGAAGTGCTAAAAAACAACATGTTTATCACGAACAACAATTTATGTCGTTGTTCGTGATAAACATGAGAGTCATAATGCCATCTCTTTAACAACTTTCTTATTAATAAAACGTACATTTGGTAAATAACCTGTATTTATTTCCTTTCAAACAAATGCAAATAAAACATTCTCCATTAAAAAAATATATGGAAATATGAAACAAACCTTATGTACAGAGTGATACAGTCACCCTAAATTGAGACTGTTTTACAGCACAGAATTAAAAAATAATAAGCACCATTTCAAAACGTAGGAACATTATAAAAATAAATAGTAATAGGTACCGAGAATATCACTAAACAAACATCTCTAAGAGTAAAAAACAAGTAATCAAAGATGCATGGACAGGCAAACATACTTATAGCTTACTTGGGAAAGCCATAAGTAAAAGTACTTTTTACAAGTAACTATAATACTGAAAGTAAGTCACAGAACGGTTATTTCGTTGGTTGAACAAACTTAAAATACTACTTTTCTTTTTTTCAGTTAGCCTTGGTTTAACTCGATATAGCTTTTTGATTACTGACGTGTTATTGCTTTCTTCATTTCGTTTTCTGCAGTATCTAGAAAGCCCTATATCAATGGTTTGGTATTCATCAGCATAAGATGTTTTATAAAGTATTTTATTAGGGTTATTCTTATCCGATTTTACTACGTTAATGTCTGTTATCTTGATATTTTCGTTTCTATCATTTTTTGTGGAGCTTCTTGCTGGCGTAGAAGCAAAATCTTTTGAATCAAGGAAGTATCCATGATTCAGCTCATGCACTCGGTAAGGGCCACCTGATACTTTGGACGTTCGTACTATTGTTACATACTGGGCTGGAATAAATATGGGACCTGACTTTAACAAATGCTTGACATGTCGTTCAATCACGGAATGGACACTGTGGCCTTGATTCTAAATATTCTGTTCTAAAATAAAATTGTATGTTTGGACAGCATGGTGGTAAATTTCAAACATAACGTGGTTTTTCTGTTGTCCACAACAATTATCAGAGTAAAAGATAAGGTCAATCTTCTTGTTATACCTTTGATTAGCTCTACTTTCTAGAGATTCAGTGTAATTTAATACGCATGTACGTATTTCGCAGACACCTCTATTTCCTTCAGACTCATCCCACATGTAGCAGTGGACATCCTTTGTTTTCAATTCGTAAATTGTAAAGTTAAATACATTCAATTTTGAAGTGTAGTAAAAAGATGATGTCTCTCATCTAGGACACTGAAGTACAGCCTGAAGATCATAAACTGCAACGATTACGTTGCTTTCACTATTTTCTTTATCTTCTTTTTTTTCTTGGCGTGATAGGTCTTTTTTAGCGATGTGAGTCTCATAATCTCTAACTAAATTTTGCCTGTCTTCACCAGTTGCCATTTGAAATGCAACACAGTCCGTGCACTGGTCTTTTTCAGGCGAAAACAATGAAATTCTGCTGTACATTAGGTTGTTGCCGTAAGGTTTCTCGGCGGAATTTTGGCAGGGAGGTCCAATTTCTCTGGACTTGATGAACTTTTTGTTGGATGACGATGTGTATTCGAGTCCTCTATTTCGTTGCCGTTTTGCAATGTTCTTTTGTCAAGCATCTACATCCATTTTTCTTCTTCAGGGCTTCTTTGCTTTGGGCTCTCCGAAATTTGATAACTCGGGGGAAGAATATTCTGCCGATTCAGACGAAGCATAGTCTGGGTCTGCATCGGAGTCGTCACAGGGTGACTCAATATCGTCGAACTCCACTTCTGTATTTTGAGCTTCTCGTATGTTTGAAAATGTGTCTCTGGACCTGTGATCAATATGATCAATGCCCTTCTCTGTGCCTAGGGAATCAATCAGGACACTATCAAGATCACACAGTTGATCGTTTATTTTTGATGGGCTAGCTGTCAAGAAGGAATCTACAATCTCTGTAACATCTCTGAAATTCCGTAACGCATTTTGTCCCTCACAAGGTAAATCCATTGAAGGTGGTGAATTAGGTGCTGTAGGTTCTTTGCCAGATCCTAAAAGAGAAAAAAGAATCAATAGTAGCTCAAGTAGCTTCCATTTTTTCAAACATTTGTAGAAGTCAATTCAATCATGGAAAAAATTGTCTTTGTAATGGAGCCTCTAGACAGGAAATATCTTCGTAAAATATCTCACTGGAACTATAGCAACCGTATATAAAAATATTGCAGCATATGGCAGGTTGCCATAGTTACATTAAAATATTTCACCGAAATATTACTCGTTTAGATTCTCCATAAGAGCATCCACAAGTTGAATTAAATTCTCTTACATTTGAATTAAGACATCACGACTTAACCGACTTACCAGTTTCTGATGATTGTCCATATATTCCCACATTTTCTACATCACTGAGTCCTTTTTCTGCAGACAATTGCATTAACAGCCTTGTTCGTTGAGGTAGTGGAGCTTTGGTATTCAAATCCATCACTTTCTGGAAACAAATCTAATAAGATTCTCATAACGACAAAAACATTGTTAAAAGGTACATAGTTGACCTAAAACAAGATCATCATGTTTATTTGAAATGGCATATTAAAGTGTTGAAAAAAGTGACGTATTTTTCGAGGTATGATTTAGTGCAAGTAAATTTATGAAGAACACCGTCATAACTCAAAATTATGATGAAACCGATAAAGTCTTGTGAAAAATAATCACTTTATCAGAAAGGACGACATAACTGAAGACTAAAGACATACACGATAAGACTCAACTAAGTATGCTACCTACTTTATTATCAAAATCATCATAAAACAAAATGTGTCACGTTTCTTGATAACAGGGTTCAGATCACATAGCCGAAGTCAAAATGCGTCATTTTTCTTGATAACGCACTACCACACTACGAGACGTGCCGGGCACAACTCAGGTTATGACACTTTTCTTGAGACGCGCAGGTGAATAGGTTACTGAAAGTAAAAGTGACACTTCTGCTAACTACCGGCCGTTTTTCAAACTACAGTAGTGACGGTTCGTGTGATGAAAATATACACTTTTTGCCGATCATTCATGCATATATCTCAAAAAACGTGATTCTTGAGTTGTGTCACTTTTCTCGACAACCGACGAAATGTTCTTTTTTCTATTACTTAATATAGTAGTCAGTAGGGGAGACTCGGGCAAAAAGAACCATATGGGCAAAAAGAACCAGCTCAATTTTTTTTTGTTTCAAAATTCCCGCCTCTATCTCCTATTTACTTCTGGCAGGTACCGCGTTTCTCCAGTGTTTGTTTGGATGCCCACACCGGTAAGCTTATTTTTCATGTTTTTACAGCCAATTTAGAAAATGTATCAGTCCTGAATTGTTGATCATGGTTTAAATAGATGGAAATTATTTGAGTATTGTTATAAGTTAAAGCATTAAATTTTGTGGCGTTAAATGAAGTTTTGCGTAGACTCTAACCTCACAAATTGTGGCGCTGTTCAAGCGTTTGACATTCATAACGAATAGGTATTTTGTGTTGCATACTTTTTAGGCAAGAAGAACCGGGCAAGAAGAACCGGTTCTATTTGCCCGGCTCCTTTTTCCCGCTATTTCGTTGAACATTGTTTTTTTTTCAAAATTGCATATTGTTTCAGAATAATGGTTTTCAATTATAAGCGAAAAACAGAGAGAGCCCAAGGATGGGACGAAAATATAATGAATCGCGCAATAAATGCGATTAACCAAAAAGGAACATCTATTCGCGGTGCCGCTCTGCAGTTTCGAATTCCATATCCCACCTTACGAAAACATTTTTTGAAGCAGTCTCCCAAAAAACAATTAGGACGGTTTAGACCAGTTTTTTCTGGCGATATGGAACAGCAACTTGTACAACATATTCAAGAAATGGACGCCCGTTTTTATGGGGCGTTTAAGACTTATGCAGTTTAGCATTCGAGTTCGCAACTCGAAATAATGTGCCACATAATTTCCGTAATGGATCAGCTGGGGAGCAATGGTACTCAAATTTTATGAGGCGACATCCCGAATTAAGCCTTAGAACTCCAGAATCTACAAGCATTGCACGGGCTTGTGGATTTAACAGGCCACAAGTGCAGTTATTTTTTGATAATCTAAATAACATTCGGCAAAAATATTTATTCGATGTGGACAACATATACAACGTGTACGAGACCGGTATTCAAACGTCTGCAAAGCGGCCACCAAAAGTTATCTCTTTGAGGGGAAAAAAACAAGTGGGCTCAATTTCATCGGCCGAGAGGGGGCAGCTGGTAACCGCCATATGTTGCTGTTCCGCTACTGGAAAATTTATCCCTCCGGCACTCATATTTCCCCGGAAGAAGAGAAATCCAAGATACTTAAATGGCACTCCACCTGGAACTGTAGATTTTGTAAGCGACAATGGTTGGATAACTAGTGAGATCTTCTTAGGATGGATGAAATTTTTTGTAAAATCTGTTAGACCATCTCCAGAACATAAATGTTTACTTATATTGGATAATCATATTTCACATCGATCTTTGGAGGTGTTGCGCTTGATGTTGCGGTATATGGGCCCATTGGAACATATTTTGAAAGAGAGGTTGATAAATGGCAAAAGCAACATCCTGCACAACATATTACTGTCTACGAATTAGGAGCAATATTTGGATCTGCTTATTTACAAGGCGCTACTCCTCAAAATGCAATAAGTGGATTCAAAAATATAGGAATACTCGATGGCAATATTGATGTTTTTAGTGACTTGGATTTTGTTCCTTCTCAAGTCACAGCAAAGGAATATGATGCCAACAAGGCTCAAAACCTTGCCGCTAGTAATGGTCAATCTGCATCACCAAATTCACCTATTCCGTCATGTTCGAGGCATGAAGTTGCTGAAGACACACAGCGTAACGTCGAACATCGCACACCTCCTCATTCGCCTATATCGCTCTGCTCTCTTGAAAATGAGAATCATGGGAAAGAGAATCGTTCTTCTCCTATTCCATCGTGCTCCTTCCAATCCACTTACGAAAATTCAAATTATTTTATACCATTAACTGCAATTCAGTCTTTGCCAATAGTTAAATAGGATGATTCTAAAAGAAAACGTAGAACACAGAAGTCAGAAATTTTAACATCTACACCTATTAGAGCACAGTTGAGAAATCAGAAAAATAAAAAATTACCCAAGACCAAATTGCCAGATGAAATGAAACGTGCAAAGAAACCTAGCAGTTCAAATTTGGATCGACCTAAATTGCAGTACCCGAAGCCACCGGTACATAAAACGGACCCCAATGAAGAAAATGTACCATGCCTCGTCTGTGGAGATACTTTTGGCAACTCTAGACCTGGCGAGACATGGATTGAGTGCAATATGTGTCAAAACTGGGCTCATCAATTATGTGCTGATTACAACAGAGGTGTCTATATTTGCGACAAATGCAAGTTATCAGTTTTGAGTTCCTTGAAATAAAGAATTGGTAATAGAATTCTACTTTTAGTTATGTTTGAAGTAATGTTCTTTTTGCCCATATGTATTTCATATGCTGATTCCTTTTGCCCAAGGCATTGGTTCTTCTTGCCCTCATATGTGAGCAAAAGGAATCAAAAGCAACTTTTGTTTTAATGTTTTTTTAAGATATATTACAATAATTATATATTCGTAACATAATTATATTATGTTTCTAAATGTAATAGAGTTTTATTGCCCATAAGAATAATAATAATTAGAATTTAGTAAACGATTTAAAAAGTTGACAACTTAAAGTGGTTCCTTTTGCCCGAGTCTCCCCTACCTACTACTAAAGTTACGCAGCCAGACGATGAGCGGCAGCGGTTAGGATTGAACCCAACTAACGTTCAACCAAAAAAAAGTAATTTCTCCATTAGATATGTTTCACGCCAATTACTGAGTGGTTCACCTACCCACTAAGAAGCTCTTTAGAACTATTGAAACAGAGTCCACGCCTCAGCTTAAAGACATGTGCTTTTGTCCAAGTTATAATTATATAACCAGAACTGAGATACTAAGGGTTCATGCATCTTGCAGCTAAGGTTAGTAAAGCTAGAGATTAGGAACACTCATACCTGTCAGTTTTTGAGCTACAAAAACCATTTCAGATTGACTGTTAAGGAAGTGTCACATATAAGTCAGATAGCATGCATCGGATATGGGCAGCGTTTTCACAACAGCAGCAACATCTATATTTCAATAGTATAACTAGTCGGGTTATAACTGCACCTTTTACAGAATGCACTGAATAGCATCTGAGTACCATCGTCTTTTCGAGTTTTTATCTTGCATACATAAATGGGCTAAATTATAATAGGATTTAAAACTTGATTTACCGTAAGCACGAAATTACCTCAATGAAAATCAAGGCGCTATCTTCCAATCGAATTTGTTCCCGTACATTGAATTGCTTAAAATGTCGTGCACTGTATCATTGCACCTCGATACACAGCGCACATAAAACCCATTTAAAATCCCAGTCGGAAAATTCAAGCACCCCTAAATCCGGTACGTTAAAATTTTATGAGTTTGCACCATGGCACTTCTAAACTATATATCCCCGTTATTTTAGCAGGTAGTTTCATGCTGTTATAAAACCTGCGAGTTTGAGGCGATAACGGTATTATTTTAGCCTTGCTTCACATTACAGAAAAGTATGATTATGTAGAGCTCTGTCTCACTGCCTTACCAGTAAATATGATCAGATTTTCAGTATCCCAGGACCGTATGAGCAATGCAAATTACTACATACTTGCCTAGAGTCTTAAAGACTGTACGTTTTGAAGAATGAGGATATGGTGTCTGGTCAATGTGTGTAGCGCTTAGCTCACTTGAGCGACTGATGATAGTCTCATATTTTGACTATTTTTCTAAAGGCTTTAATGTATTCTCGTAAAGTGAATAACCATCAAATATTATATGTATAACACAATACTTGCCTTATACAACGACACAAACGTAAATTTGAATCTCGTTCTCTACTTTCCAGCTATAACACGATAAGGTTAGCAGCCTAGCGAAACAGATAGTTGCATCTAGTTTTTACTGACTAGCATACAGCGACACAGATAGATGCACTTAGTTACTGTTGACTTGCACTATGCAATACAGCTGTATCTATTGTCTGACCTCCTGTAAAACATGGTTATACCTTGTTATGGAAATTAGAGGAAGATGACAATGGTGCCATTGGAAAAATTGTCTAAAAGAGCCGGTAATACTGCAACACTGCGTAACGAATAATGAGCAGCTCTCTCGGACCAGTGTTACTTGAAACTACTTCTTTTGATAAATGTGTGCGGCGATTATTTATTGATTATCTGACTTACATACAGAAAGACGTAACAACTATCAATCATGTGTTAGTTTACCGATTATGTCATGGTATCCTGACATACATTCCGAAATGTACAAACTATCCATTAACTATGACATTAATGGACGTACATTTTTAAATATAAAGTTCAAAAGGTCAGTTATACTCTGATATACCTATACAGGTGGTCGGTAAAAGGATATTACAACTATTTTGAAAACCTTTACCCTTACAAAGAAAAAGAGATAAATTCATTTGGACAAAGTTCTAAAAAAATGAAGCCTTAGTGGTGGGGGGCACAGATTGGCAAGTACACCAACGACGGTCCTCCCTTTTCCTGACCTCGAAAGTACCAACCCTCTAGTCAACATACTTATCCCTCCATCTATCAGGATGTATGATAATTCTGTAGAATGGGCGACCTGTATCGATTTTTTTGTGACATTATGTAAGTTGTTTCACAAGATGTTAGCACTAGCTGATGGACACTTGTGAACTCGTTTTGTAGCTGTACGTGTTGCCTAAACATTATGAGTTATCAATGTTTGGCTCTCAGGTGGTGTAAAATCTGTTTCAGAGATGACCTTACTGGAGGTCTAAGCTATAAGATGTACAAGTATACTATAGCTAGAAGGAACCGGCAATGCAACGGATTTGTGTGCTAAAAATATGGATTGATGATGATTCCATTGGATTTTTGTTTCAAATACACTTACTTGATATTCACAGCTAGAAATTAGTTGCGCATCCACTTTTTCTTATCTATTCTGGAAATTATATATACAAATTTGCTGAATTTAAAAAATCAGAGAGATAAGAAATAATTATATTCACTGTACACTGTCGAATCACAAGTCATTACAGATCTTAACAGTAATATTACATGCAACGCGGGCGCGGTAGTGATTTCCCAAAATTCTCCTCACAGTTTTTGGAAACACAAAAAACGCAAAAAATCGTAATTTGTAACTTTGAACATAACCTGTCTTCAGAAAGGACAACATGTAAATGAACCGTCGGGCACAGCTAATAGATCTGCTTCATCGGCAACATATTCAGTAATGATTTTCTCACACAGAAAATATTACTGATTTTATATACATGCAGATCAATACATATAATCATTTAGTTGCGATCTTTCTATTCAACCGACTTTCCTCTCAGAGATGGAAGCTACAGACTACTCGGCTTCACAAAACAGATGCAACCAACAATGCGTGTAGTTCCTCCGTAGATGGACGCTCACAACAATCCTAGTGAGCAAACGTGGAATGACTGTTTGAACCCTAAAAACTACCTAGTCTGCAAGAAGGCATTTTTTTTTTTTTGGAGGAATGACTCAACTACACGCATTGTTGGTTGCAGAAATTATGTATTTTGTGAAACCGAGTAGCCTGTAGTATTTACCTCTGAGAAGATATGAAAGAAAGAAGGTTGGTTTATTAGTAAGATAGCAGCATCATTATCACTGAATATGCTGCCAATGAAGTATGTCTAACAGCTGTGTCTGACGAGTTATTTATACGTGGAGGAGCATTATGGGAAATCAACACCGCGCCCGCGTTGTGTGCAATTAAAGGTTCCATAAACTTCAATGAGAATTTTGGTTGAATGATGACTCCATCTGAATTCTGGTGCTCGTGCCGTGGTACTCTCGCTCTGCAAAGCACTTGTATTTGGCATAACAAGAAACTCGTTTAGTTCTGTAAACAGAAGACAGTTAGCTCCATACGTCCCAACCCCATAGTCGTCAAACTTACCATAAGATAGGATATTTTGATTCTCCATGGCAAAACAACATTCCTTATGCTTATAACCTTCAAATTTCAACATTCTAATTTCTATTTAATGCGCATGTGTACTCACAGTCCTTGCTACGGACCAGGTACTGTTTTGACGGTCCAAAAACCGTTCGTTGAACTGTCGGAGATCTGTTGGAGCAGTGTATCAAGCGTCCATGAACGGTCATAGGTTTGTGTTAGAAAGCTTCAAGCGGACTGCGCACGTGCGTGACGGTACAGTGCACGGTACGCACCTTTGTTGGTACAAACCCTTAAAAGGAAGCTAGGTTCCTACGACGTCAAAAATTCAAAGATGATGTGGTGGAAAATATCACAGGCTTTACTAGACTATGATATTTAGGTAACGCCAAACAATTGCATGGATAGATGGAGAGTACTGGAGCGGAACTATAAAAAATATGTAGATAACCAAAGGCAAACAGGTAAGAGGACTCCTCAAGCTGAGAACTAATTGAAATTGCCTTTTAGTTATGAATCCAATGAGATATACCATAGTTAGATGTAAAAGCTAAAGCAACTTTGCATATGCTTGGCAGGATCTAATTTAATTTTTTCCTATAATTTTAGGTAGGGAGAGAACATTTTTTGAGTATAAGCATGAAATGGAGGAGGTATTTCTCAAGAAAAAAAATATCCGTCCTGAATTGCTGCCAGCAAGTGATCAAATAGATACTCAAATAGATATGAACAGTGATAATGCTATAACTACAGCTACACCAGATGTGTCTTCAACATCTAAAAGCGTAAGCCCAAAATCATTGCAAGCAGTGACACCACAGAAGAAAAGTCAGATAATTTTAAAAAGACAAGGTATTATGGAAAAAATAAGAAGTGACCACAAAACGTATTATGAGGAAAAACTGCAAATAGAAAACTTAAAATTAGAAGAAATGAAAGAAAGGAACCAACTGATTGAGGAACGAAACAATATCCTCAAATAAAAGCAGTATAACTGTCATCAAACAAGCTCCTAGCTTTACTGTATTTTGCCATTAAAGTTAAGTCATAGATTATTAGTTTTGTTGCGTTCAGTATTGAAATATTAATTTTATATTATGTTATGTATTGCAAATGAGTACATCAAGTTCAAACAAATGGGGATGCACTCTTTTTCCAGTACTCTTCAGGACCTTGTAGAGGAGGGTCTTAACCTTAATTAGATACTCAACAGTTTTGAAAATATTTTTCTTACATTTTGTAAGTATTGATGATGACTAGTTAATGGGTATGCAGACATTAACTCGTTCATACCTTGAATACTTAACATAACGTCAGAAATAAGTTAGTAGTGACCTATGTGTCAAGTGATCCCAGTATTCTCAACAAAATGGACACAGCCCAAAATTCTGTAAATTATTTAAAGTTGACCATATCCGAGTTATAAGCAATATATGTCTGAACATCCCTACAAATAAGCATTTTCTCTGTTGAAGCTTATGGTTTGCGGTGACAGGTGTCTAAATCAAAGTTAAAACCTTCCCCTACCACATACTGAAAAGTGTTATGGAATTAGTTTATTTTAAAGTTATTTATAAGCTTATTTGGTAGGCTGAAATAGGTGCAAGTGTCATTTGAACAGGGTGTACTATGCTTGTTTTTGATTAGTTTTCAGTTGTGCAATTCCTTTTGTATAGACTGATTTATTTTTTGTTGCAGTATCTCTAATTAGCTTTCAACTGTGTCATTTATGTTGTGATGGTACAAAGAATTCATAATTAATTTGTCTATCTCATCACTGGCTTGTGAATCAAACATATGAGTTGACTTATTTATGGACATTTCAGCTGCCCTGGCAGCCTTTCTCATAAAACAAAATAAGAAAAAAATAAACGAAATGTTGAAAGTTACAGTAACATTATGAAGGGTTTTCTATTTAATAGCTCTGATTCTAAATACATATCAATCAACGTCGGTGTAACTCTTAACTGTCTATTCCTGTGTACTTTAAAAAGGCTGCTGTGACATAAAGTAGTAAATAAGTTCATTTAATTCATGTGGTTTAATTGACTACCCAGGGATGAATAAAACTAATCTAGCATAGGGCCATGAGATATGTTTCAAGTAATATTAATTGTTCATTAATATTTTATGCAACATGCAGACTGATTTTTTACATGTTAAATATATGGAAATATATTTTTTTGATTTTCATACTTTTCTTTTATTTAAATTCCTAGTGCTCCTTTATTATTCTGTTATTAACGCCGCAATGAAGAAGCAATTATTCGCATTACTATTTCATTGACATGTATTTTGACAATTTATTTTCAGTTATTAGTTAACAAGATCACATATTGTATTGTCATGACCATCCATATACTGGATACCTTCTGCTAGAGCTCTTGATTCATACACAAAGTCATATAATGCAACTCTATTTATTAGATTCTAAACACTACAAATACATTTGTGATTTGGGGGTAGACTGCAATAAAAGACAATCTATAAACATAACACATGTATTGATTTTAGAAAGTAGTAATAAATACTTTCACCTCATTATGCACATGAGTTTCTTTAAAATTAACACAAACTATTTAAATGATATTATACAAGGTGTTACAAAATGTAGTGACAGACACTTAAGGTCAGATAAAATATTGTAAAATGTAATCAAAAGTTCACTTGACTATAGACCCAGTCATGCTCTATTCATATGTGTGCATGTGTTAAACGTTTTCCACCCTTAATTATCTGCTTTACGTTTATCAAAAACCTGTGATTGAATAGATTTGATGCTCAAGTTTTTAATATTCATACAAATACCTCCACAGTTTTTTGATGAATGTAAAATAAACTGTGAAAGATGGAAAGCTACCACTTATCATAAAAATGGAGCATTTGTGGACCATATTTCTATGAAATTATTAGCTGTCCCACTTCATAATATAGCTGCAATGTAATCCCTAATAGCAACAGCACTACCATCATCTTCTATATCTGCACTATCATCACCAATGGCTACTGCAGCATTCTCAGCCTCGATCGTCTCTATTAAATTAGCATCTGGAAGTTCATCCTTGATAGCAATATTATGGACAACACAGAATGCTCTTACAAAATGGACTATCAAAGTATCTCCCGTAACTTGATGTGATTGAGTTGACGGAATTTTTGCTTCAGCATGCCAAAAGAATTTTCAATAATGCATCTATTTTTAGATAACTTTATATTGTAATTTATCTCTTGTTCAGTTAGAGTCGCTCGATCTTTGTAGGGTGTTAGCAGATTTTTTTGAAGAGGATATCTATTGTTTCCCAGTATAAAATAGGTCCCACAATTTTGTTCTAACGTCTGACTTAGAGGAGAAGTCCGAAAAACTCGACTGTCATGAACTGATCCTAGATACCCTACAAATAAATCTCTAAACCTTCTCTGATGATCACACACAGCCTGCATCTAAAATGAAGAAAAATTAACATGAATTAACTTCCTATTACATAAATCACTAAAAAACTTAGACATCAAGTTTCTGAAAATGCCCAAGGTACCATAAATAGACCAGTACCTACAGTTGGTTTCTAAGTAAGTATAATATCTCTATATATATTATTTATTATATTATTATATAGTACTTACACAAAATACTGACTTAATCAGTCAACAGGAATCTTATTAGAAATATTATTTTGTGTAAGTACTATAAGCAGTTTTGTATGTTCAATTTATAAGCAAATAAATTATATATATATATATATATATATATATATATATATATGTATGTATGTTGCTACTACTATATCCTACAAATTAATAATAAGTGAATAATACCTGGTCACCGGATAACAGTTTGCCAAATGGGCCAGATTTACTTCTGTAGTCACTGTTCTGGAACATGCCGCTTATTTCGTTGGCCACATTTCTCGACACGCGGAAATGCTCGAAAAATGTTTCATCAGAATAGTGTGGGACAGTTGTCTCTGAAAAGTGAATATTCTCATTATGATGTGTTCCTCGTTATTGACTTTCAAAATTACCCAAATAGTCTTCGTTTTTTACTTTCGAGTCTTGCATAAATTCTAACTCATCATCCGAAGAAGACTCCTCTGATGCAAAGTCGCTGAATCCATCGTCACTCATCTTGATCTTACTCAAAACCCTTTCAAACTAGAATAGAAAAAATGCAGCAAACGAAACTACACACAACATCGAGGTTAACTTCTATGGTGACGGGAGCCACGGAACCACAGTACAGGATGCGGTAGGGATGAGGATGAAGGCTGATTGATGAACAACTGTACCAAGAGATTAAATTCGTAGGATCACGGTATCGTCCACAATTGACGCATGCGCACGCTGTCGGAGACCAATAGTTTCGTGGTGGTTCAAGGGACGGCGCAAATAGATGATGTTGGTACGAACCCTACGCCACATCACAGAAAAGGTAGGAATGACGCATCACACTTCTTCGTATCTTGCGTTCAGCATATTACAAGCTTCCCGTTGAACGAATTAGAATATAGATTTCGTTCGACCGACCATAGACCGCCAGCCATGGACATCCGTTTCGTGCCGTTTGACAGCTTCTCAGTATGGTACAAGACTGGTTCCAGATAGGACAACGAACAAAAGCTGAGCAACTATCACCTATGCAGTATAAACTCTATCGAAATGATTTTGAATATCCCAGTGCAAATTGTCAGCCGAGTATCCCCTGTAGCGGCTAGATCCCGCTGCTCCTGGTGATATAGTAGATACTACAGTAGATTCTGATGCTAAAGTAGTAAAGAGAGAATCGTTCTTGCTTACTTTTCTGTAAGTTTTTGATGACTTATTTACACAGACTGTGCTAGATAGTGCTGGTTCTTGTTTAGAGGGGTGTTCCCGAATCCCGCTTACAACATATTCTCGCATGCGACGATGGAATTTTATCAAGTTATTTGATTTTAAGACCAATGTTGGAAAAAGGTGGCCAATAACGAAGAAAAATGTGACTATTCTCGAGCAACTCATACTCACTCATCCGCCATTTTGTTGAATGATGAAAGAATCTCGAACCCGTCCTTTTTCGTCGCACGTTTATAGAATCGCGATTTTCTTTTTCGAATGAAAAATGACAAATGCAATATTCAAGAAGGCACTTTATGAGTTTCTTGCGACATTTTTTACTGTCGCATGCGACATTGGCCATTCGAAATTCGAGAACATCCCCCCCCCCAGATAATAAGGGTAACCTATTTAGCTGTAATATTACGATAGCCATCTAGTGTACAAGTAAGGACATAGCTAACATGGGACTCCAGTGGAAGCAAAATAATGCGGAGCAACTTGATAGTGCAAGATGCACTAGCGTTTGAAAATGAGAGAAGGATATGCTAAGTGAACATTTAATATCTTAACCTTTCAGCTCTAGTTGAATTTATCTCGCACTTCAGACTGGCGTCCACATCAAGGGGTTATTTATTTCGTTCCACTGAGAGCTCCTCACATAGCGATAATGTAAAACGTAAGAGGAATAAGATAAATAGGATGATATTACGCTTTATGCAGTACATAGAGCTATAACGTGTCAGGCGAAGAGCCCCACAGGCAAAGACAGTGGCTTCCGCAACCGTTTTGTGATATTCTTATAACATTCAAAATCGCCCTCGTTCATCAAAGAACAATCCAAACGATGTTGTCTTGTATGTATTAACTTTTAACCTTTATTTATTACTAACAAGGTATTAGTGAGTTGCGTATTACTGCTAAGTGGAACTTCGCCATACACGTGTGGCGTTGACTAGCATGCCCTGTTGTATCTAAAGCTATTCATTGATCTCCATACTGTGATGCTATTCATTCCCCTGGTGATAGTTCAAATTTTAAATGTCTTTGATATTGAGTTAATGATGAAATAAAGTACCTACCATAATTGGCCCTAAGCAAGTGGCTGATTTCTAAAGGTTTAGTTAAATAAGGCTCTGGAGTAATGACAATAAGTACTGCGGGCACGCTGCCACAAGATCTGTTGGGAAATAGTGTGCATAATTCAGTAATTTGTCAAGTTGTGATACAACGTCTGTAGATGGTGAGAGCTAACTGTTGAATAAATATAATGAGTGAACGAATTTGGAAAATGCTGAGTCAGCATCAATGCCTCTCACCCCGCTGTTGCTCACACAATTTTATCATTCATCCAAAACATCGATCATATTGATGACTCTCGTCATTGAATGCTTAACCATCCCCTGTTATAAGATCAATTCGAGTTATAGGGCCCCGAGGTCCTCTTACTTGATGCATCCATACATATACGCTCAAGGATCACCCGTAGACAACCATGTTGCCTGTTTACTTGGAAAATTTGACACAGAAATGTCAAATCATTGTGATTTATATGGGACGCTACCACACAGTTTGATGAACATTTGTCAAGCCAATGTACATTTTTGGAGTAAAAGCTCTATGTTACGAGGGAGGTCAGGATAGGTGAGTGAGAAAATTGCTGATTTCGTAGTGTAGATCTGTCTAGAAAAATTCACATTTAAGGACTAATGAAAGGCTTATTTGTCACCAGCAAGCTGCTGACGTAGACAGATCCTTTATGCATGCAGTAAGTATCTGTTAAGCAAAATCCTCTAAGCCACGTTGACTATTTATGTATTGATAAGTGCAGTTCCCACGTCTGCCAGACATTACATACTTTTTGGCAGATAGAACCTAAGACATTTATGTGTTCTCTAAACGCCTGCTTAGTTGAGTAGAGGTCCAAACTGCTGAGAAAGGCTACTTGAAAATAAGACAAGCTTCACTTAAATTCTGATGACAGTTTTTTGTATATATTTTGTGAAACATTATTACAAAGTAATATTCAGTACTACCAGATACCTTTCCTCAGCTATAACTTCTGCAAGGTGCCTTCCCGTTATAATTTGACTTCTTTCAAACATGTTTGTAAAATCGGTACTGCTAAATGTTACTTATAATGTTTCACAAAGTATATATAAAAATCAACCATAGGAATTAAAGATTGTCTTATATTCACTTAATCTTTCTATCATCGAACCAGTAAGTCGGGCCTCTACTTAACTTAGCCTGTACATAAAGGTGTTGAAACTATATACAAATGCTATTCAATCCTCTACGTTTTGTCTTCCAGAAAATAAGTGATTTCTGGGAGCACTGGGACCTTACTCTAAGCCTGCCTCGCTTGCGCAAGCTGTATCGAGTTTCTAGTTAATGGTCGACGACGCTAGGTGAGTCAAATTCTTGCAAAGCGACTCAAGTCTACACATTTACTCACTAAGTTATCCTGCTTTTAAGGTTAATAGATCAATTGATGACAATGTCAACGACTAATTTTTTGTTAACGTTGATCAGCAGTGATTTTGTATTAAAGAAACAAATACCGAATAGGTTCTAGAGGGTATTTTGTAGAGTTCCTCGTCACGTGCCCTCATGAAAGACATGTTATATCACCACAGGATATTTACTTTTAATGATTCTTAAAATTGTGATTCGATCCAATCAATATTTTAATGCTTTTATCATTCCATAACTCCAATAACGCTAATACTACCTATCTAGTCATGTGACAGTAGTATTATAGCGCCACCACTGGCAAAATCTTTGGCAATGAAAGTGTCGTCAAGAAATTGTGGCTGTAATTTGTAAGATTCAGCGTCTGCTGAGTTTTCACAGAAATGACGCGACTATCAAAATTCGCGGAGAAATTTGAAATATTGCATGGATGTGTGCGTTTATGACGTGCAGAGGATTGGGGGATTTGTGTGAAAAGCTCGTGAATTTATTCGTATAGAAGGAGAAGCACTAATTTGAGCTGAGAAGCGTTTATCATGTAAATTGTGCATCAGTCACATATGCATCGTGCAAATTGACTCGTTTGTGTACGGTTATAATCCTTGCTTTTAAGACTGACTAACTGAGGACGCTGAGGGGTCAAATAAACAAATTGAGCTTGTACATAAATTGAACTTCGATTATGTCTAAATCATGTAATATTCAACGTAGGATCCTAAGGGACAATTTTACTAACAGAAGTTCAAAATTCTTGATCCGAATCATAATGGAGCAATGAGCAGGCATCTTTCTTATACTGGATCTAATGGATACAGTCGATATTTTCTAAAATAACGCATCATATGTGTGTGCGCGAGGAATTTATGTAAAGTAGTAACAGTCACGTTTTTAATAAAAGTATTTCAGTATGCACATAACGTACGTACGTTTTTTGGGGAAAAGAAAGAGTACAGGAACGTTTTTATTATTTTTGAAACCAGAATTATCTTGTGCGTTTCATCAGCTCTGCTATCCAGTACACGGCTGCTCAGTGCTACCATATAAAATTCTTCAACAGAAAGTCGTGAGGCTGAAATCGCAGTAGATCCACGAAATAACCTTTAGATTGGTCAATCAGACTCTATTTCGACTCTCTTAATTGAATTGAAAAATAAATATTATTAGGTTCAACTACCGTTGAAATAACAAACGTTTTAGTGTTTTCTTAATGCTTTACAAATGTATCAACTGTCAATAGTAGAAGAAAACGAATACTAGAGATAGGACTGGGTGGATGCTTTCGCAAATACAGGTGTTGATTAGGATGATTCAACACCATGAAGAATATGTTAAGCAAAGTATTCAAACCTGCTATCTTAGTCTGTTACAAGCATGATGATCTGTGGTTGTTGTGTGTAGACCAAATTCGATAGTTCGATCTCACGAGGTACGAAAAACGACATCTCGCTCCTGGGTGGGTGTTTAGTTTTAACGCTTTTTATCATATAACAGGGTAAACAGCATTTTGGCGGATGCGATACGTTTAGTTGTCGTTTTTAAAGTTGTTTTCTGTATATTTAATTTTACCATTCCCCTATATATGGCGCTACATACATTGTCTTATATATACTGAAGTTATAGGTGGTGCTGAATTACTGTGCAATAAATAAATAATAATAATAAATAACAATAAAATGGGGTTGATTTTATGGAAACCATGAGGTAAAGGTGTACAAAATAACTGTAATCCAGAAACATCTCTATTTAGCTTGAATGACGACATGCGGATTAGTACACCAGCAGAAACATGTGACACAATGGGGGATAGTTGACGAGTTTGTTGAAATCTAAATTTTTGTCCATCTTGTCAGGTGTTTATGTTTATTTTGAACTGAATTCTATCACCTACAAATGGGATTTTTGTTACTTGTTTCCGATTTGTCAATTTTGTATCCAGTCTTACGTTTTTGAAGCTAAACCAGGTGACTTGTA